CCCCATCCAATACCCCTTGCTCATACAGATCGGGTACCCCCATCCAATACCCCTTGCTCATACAGATCGGGTACCCCCATCCAATATCCCCTTGCTCATACAGATCGGGTACCCCATCCAATATCCCCTTGCTCATACAGATCGGGTACCCCCATCAAAGGTTCCTCTTGCCCTCCCCTATTAATGTAAATAAAGGCAATCATGCTCTCTAAATGAAGATTCTCTCTCTTCTTCTCAGTTGCTGGGTTTCGTTTTCTAATGATTTGATTTGGACATTCGTGGCTCCGGTGCTCATCATCATTTTTGTAAGTAACAGAAGAGTATTTCTTTTTCCCAATCCGGTATCCTAAGAATCTCAAGTTCTGAATGGCTACGCGAACGTGCGGTACTAAATTCTATCTCGGACCACGGTCCGGTATCCTGGGATAACGTATTGCTAAATAACAAAAGAAAAGATTGCAAAAGAAATGGCCACGGCCCGCATATTCAAGAACACTGTTTTTCTTGTAGGTCAACATGTTTGTTCTCATTCGTGTTGTACGAGAGCTAACAAGACTAAACAAGTCGAAGTCAGAAGCAGGCTCAAAATCTTTCAAGTAAGTCATGAACTTAATCTAGAATACAAATACTTTGATTTTACAAATTGGTGAAAGAGTGCGTGATATATTTTTAAAAATAGACAAACAAAAAAAAAAAGGAAAGAAAAAAGATTGAGCAATGTGGAATTATGTGCTCCGCAATGAAAGAGGACGAGAGATCAAAACCACCATCACAGCAGTGAGAGGATGAGAGATCAAACCCACCATCACAGCAGTGAGAGGATGAGAGATCAAACCCACCATCACAGCAGTGAAAGGCAGCGCATTTCAGAGCAAAGCACCCATGTAAGGAATTACGCTCCGATCACTGCTAATATTATTGTTCTAATCGATCTCTTGATTCAGACAAGGTACAAAGGCGTGTGTAGTACTGTTTCCTCTACTTGGTTTAACGTGGTTGTTCGGTCTCCTGACAGTCACAGACGCGGGACTTGCTTTTCAGTACATCTTCACTATACTAAACTCCTTCCAGGTCAGAAAATAAACTTTCTAAATAATAAGAACATTTTGAAGAAGTGGCAAGCGGTTACATTTATATCAAGTAGTTGCATGTGATCTCGGTGAATGTGCGCAAAGGATTGTTGTAGTTGATCAGGCGGTCCTAGTTTCAGTTGTTTATCGGCGAACAAAGAGCTATCATTTCACGATAATTCATAAAAGAATTAAAACCACAACACACCATTTGACCCATAGGTATTCGTTATAAGAATGGGCAGAATTTTAAATTTATTGCTAGTCCATGAAGTAGCTAGGGAAACAAAGATCCAGAGTAATTTTTTCTGACTTCGGCCGCCATGTTTTTTTCGATGGACCTCCAGATCAGATTTTTTCCTGCGCGATGATTGGCTGGTTTTTGATGGGCTGTCAAGACGGAATCACCTGGCTTTTCACCAAAAGTTTAATGAGTTCAAATACACCGAGTGAACAAAATAAACTGATCTTATGCCCAATAAATCGATTGACTCAAGGGAAGCTTTACAGCATGCATTTATGAAAGTGTCATCCATGTAAAACAAGAAGGGAGTCTACCGATATTTAAATCCTTGAGGACAAATTTTCAGACGTAGATCTCGATTTACGCCCATAACTTGCCTTTCTGTAGTTCTAGTAAATGCCTCGATGTGCAATTTGAGAGCATAAGATAGCAGAAAATGTCTGTCGTTTCAAAATTTAGTCCAAAATTTATTCTTTACGTCGTAAAAAAAAGAAGTACACATGCATTATATTTTATAATTGCAATCAGCAATCTTGAGGAATATCTTTTTCCCACCAAAACCGCGCAGCATAAATCTTCCACAAAACGTTCTCGCGCAAACGTTTTTCTTCAGCTTTCCAAGTGTCCATATGTGTTGCATGCTTGTTCTATTTGGCAAAACCTTTTTCTTTTGTCTTTCCAGGGTTTTCTGATCTTCATTTTGCATGTGCTAAGAAACGGTGAAATCCAAAGCGCGTTCAGAAGAAAAATACRGCGTTGGGAGACCACAAGAGGAACAAACTTCTCCTCAAAATCTGGTGTTGACCATTCAGTCGCCTCGAGCACAGACAAGAAACCTCTGAAACAGTTTGCAAGCGCCGAGAGCCTTCAAGACAACCTTGTAAGGAACAACCGAGTACTTCCTGTCATGGTGAAATGAGAAGGAAAAAATTGCTGGGTTTCAACTGACGTCATTTCCTGACTCCATTTCAACAGCTAAATCGCAACTTAACGATAGCGTTCTTTCTGTTTGACAGCACATGGCCTTCAGTGTTTGACCACCATTTGGAGCTAGTCAGATGAGATTTGAAGACTTTTTTCAGCTGATTGAAACCCAGTAATTCATCTGGTAGTAACAGTACATGTATTACAACACAACTCTGCCATTCTTGAGGAATTAGCACTAGATAAAGTTAAGGTGGACGAGGAATCGATTATTAAATCCACTACGTCCACGACTGCTGACTTGACTTACTGCATCTCATGCACTCAGATTTACTCCCACAATGCTTTGAGCCACACAAAATCTTGCACCTTATTATCATAATGACGTCACGGATAGCCCTACTATATGGAAATGTTTTTGTGCTGTTTTCTTTGCTAGTAAAGGTGCTGACACACGGTGCAACATTGCACGCAACATTGAAAGCAACAAATTTGATTCGGGGTGACACACATTGCAACAAAATCACACAACATCGCTTGTGTCAGCCTGCTATATTAAGATATTTGGTCAGCAGTTAAAAATTTGGTGCAAGCTGATTGGGGTAGACACACGTTGCAACAGTCATGTTGCATGCAATGTTGCACCGTGTGTCAGCACCTTAACGGTTTCAGTTGATTTCAACGACGCCATGTTGGCTGACCTAACAAGTTGTAGTCAACCAACATAGCGGCTATGACGTCACATGACCTCAAGAATATGAGTAGGACACGACTACATCTGCTTTGAGGATTCTTTCGCCAGATATGAGTGTGTAGCTCAAAGCAGATTATTTATTACGATTATCGTTTTCTTTTCTTTTCTTGCACTCCAGGCATACCTATGTATATATCATACGTTTTTGTACATTACTTTAAAATAAGGTTTAACTATAGGTATTAACGTACATATTTGTGTTGTCGTTACAGGGGGGGGAGGGGGGATGCGGGGAACATAGGTTGAAAGAACAGGGGGGGGAAGGGGTGGGGATTTTTCTTCAAAGTGTATTGTACTCAAGCATTGCTATCATAAGAGGCTGCCTTTCTTTTGATCTCCCGCTAAAAAAATAACCAATTACGTATAGCGATTAGAAGTCACTTGAGGAAACTGACTTGAAAGGCTCACTCGGAAAAATCCATTTACTGCGGTTTTCCATATTCTGAAATTTAGTTTTTCAATGCCGTCAATCAAAAATAATCAGTCAGTACCTGTTCTTGACTGGCAACAGTGTTAAACCGATTTCACAACACCCCGTTGAAATGTCGGATTTCGCAGAATATGGAAAATCACAGTAAATTTTCAAAAAGAATTCTCAAGTCACGGCTGTTGAGTTTGACAACCAACGTGCAATCGGGTCATGTTCGTACCCAAGCTAGACCAGAATGCACCTTTGTCACTACGCCGGACAAGTCCTTCCACTAATCTCCTTCAAAGTTGCCTCCGCCATCATGCTATGGTTACCGCCGTCCTCGCTTCAATGCACAGGCACGGTTACCGTTCAAGATGGCACAGGAAACTGAGAAGGTAACTATTCCATTGCTCATTGAAGTGCGCACTATATGGGGATCCCATATATAAAGCTACAAGTAAAGATAACAGTAAGATTCATATATCAGTATTGATGTCTCTTGCATGTATACATTAAAAATCGAAATTACTTTATTAGTTTTAAATTAGTACAGTTTTATTTAGAAGTAAATGAACATTTTTTAGAAGAACCGGTCCACAGTTAAAAATATAATATCAACCCTTCCTTGGGATAGACTTTGTAATGATCAGAATAATAGAGATGCTGCACCATCACGTGACGGCAGCCATGTTAGATGGCAAGAATAATAAATTTTTAAACAGCGTTTTCCATCCGGACAATATGTTTACTGTACGTTTTCTATTCATAAGAAGGTTGCTCTCGGTTTTCATCGCTACGAATCCAATGATTTAACAGCATTAAATGCTTGTTCGAGCAGATCGATGAATCGCTGTACGTCAGTAAACGAGTTGTACATGTGTACTGGAGCTATCCGCATCACGTCAGGGTTCCTCGTATCAACCTGGAGAATCAACAAACATCTTTTTCAAGCATAATCTTTAAGAGGTATTGCTAAAGTCTTCTTGTCCATATCACGACACTTTAATAGGAGCGGGAAGGATTATCGTCTGCTAACAATATTGAAAAGAACGACTTCCAGTAAAATGGTAGGTGCGTCAATAAACATGGGAAAATTACTTCCGTTAAGATTCGCATTTGCTAACTAAAAATGAAGTGCGGGTTAACTTCCAGTTAATTTGCGATAGTGTTCATCTCGAATAATGAATATAATGGAAACATTGACTTCCGCCAAGCTTATTTCGTAACTGAAAAAGGCGGTAAATGTTGACTTCCGGTAATTGGTACGCGCGTTTGCCATCAGAAAGAGAGAGAGAAACGCGATGACTTCCGTTATCGCGTTAAAAGGTACCCTCTGTTGGGGTCCATAGGTTATGTATTCCCACTCCGGTGTTTGTGTTTTTGGACAGGTAGTCGCGAGGCACACTCGCTTGTTACAGCCACAGGAAGTGAAATAGGACCTCTGGAGTCCAGGGTAGTAGTAAAAGATCAGTGTTCGGGTTCTTTTGACTCTCTTCTTCTGACATGAAGGACGAAGAGTAGAAACTAAAACTGCAATAGAACAAATAGATGCCTCTTTTGAACAACAACTGCTACAACTTACCACGACTCCTCTTTTTTCCAATTCTTTGTGTACTTTTTGAACTGGACAAGAAAATTTGACCGACAACTGGCAGCCGCGGTCTTTAGGGTCAGCGGGGGTGATAATCTTGACATAAGGTCGGCTTAACTGTTGTTTTTTATCAGGGGTGTCATCGGTGTCCTCGTTCAGTTCAGGGGCAGGGTAACGGTGAAGCAAAAGTATTTCCAAGTATGCTTTAAAAAAAAGGTGGGAAACGACATGAATAACGCTGAAATAGCTTCCCCTAAGAATGGTTATCTTATCTGTGGGAAACATACGGTACTGATTTACAGCACGTACACGGTACGACATGCCGTAACATTGAAATAGCTTCCCATAAGAATGGTTATCTTATGAGAGGGAAACATACGGTACTGACTTACAGCACGTACACGGTACGACATGCCGTTATATTGAAATAGCTTCCCATAAGAATAGTTATCGTATGAGTGGGAAACATACGGTACTGACTTACAGCACGTACACGGTACGACATGCCGTAACATTGATATGGTTTCCGATATGAATGGTTATCTTATGAGTGGGAAACATACGGTACTGACTTACAGCACGTTCACGGTACGACATGCCGTAATATTATCGAAAAGGCTCCACTGATTATTTGCGTTAACACAAAGAAAAAAAATCTACTTCATTTAAAGAAAAGATTTTTCATCGTAAGATCCATATTACCTGTTAAGAGATCTCCTTTCGCCCTCAGACGCTTTATCGACGTTTTCTTAAATACCTGATCAAGACATAAAAAGAAATGTCTATTAAAATAACTAAATAAATAAATAAATAAATAAATAAATAAATAAATAA